GACAATTGTTGTAGTGGTAATAAAAATGGAAGAATACTTGCCCACCATTCACCTTTGGAATGCAAGGCTCTATACATTTTTCTTAGAATAGACATTTAAAATTTTAAATATCACAAATTATATAAAAAAAATCACACTAACTAAAAGAAATTAAAAATTTTGACGGATACTTGGTACAGATAAATATTTCGTTTTATAAATAAAATTTTTCTTGGTTGAAAATGAATACTTTCAAAACACATGCCACACAATTGTAATACTTTCGGGATTGTGAAGGACACTTACATTCCTTTCAAAAGAAGGAAAGTGACCAATTCAAGATTCGGGTTTGTGCGGTATAACTGTAGCATAGCAGCATCTGTCACAATCCAAAAAGGAAATGGGCTCTTGGTGGATGACTCTATGCTAGAGGTCAAACTGGCTGCTTATGACAGAAATAGCAGAAATGAACAGAGTAAGAAAAAGCTTCAGCCTCCCAGAAGATTCTCGGACACGATCAATTTCAAGGGTAAAGACGCACTTGTAGGGCACAGATCTTTTGCTGAAGTCCTAAAGGGTGCTTGGGGGGACACATTTGTCCATTTTTTATTCACATGAAATTAATTTTAAGTTTGAACAAAATACAATAATAAAAAACAATGTAGATTTATAGGAATTAGCATTTTGTTGTATTTTTCTTATTATCTTTGAATGATGATACTGAATAATAGCGGATATAGTTTATCTAACCAAGCAATAGCTTGTAGCCTTGTACATCACTACAACTTGTACCAAAAGTCGTCCACTGCCGGCCTCCTACATGTTGAAGCCCAGGTCAAGGTTTAACCCAGGAATTTTGAATCTTTAGTTCGCACAGATTTCAGGCTTTTTAGGCTGCATTTGGGACTCAATATTCTAATAAACTTGTTTATAACCTAAAGGCATTTAATTATGGGTTTGGTTTTATTTAGTTATTTTTATCTATGGTGGGATTGGAAACAAGGAAAGGAAATTAGTTGGGAGTTTTGACAAATATTCTTTCATTGAAGTAACTTGTGCTGGCACCCTCCTAAGGAAGCCTTTGTATCTTTAGGGCAGCCAGGTAATATTTCATTGCCTTCTAACTCGTACAACAATATTTTCGAAGTGTTTGTGCTTCATAAGAACTGATGCCAAAGTCAGAGTCAAAAGGCTTCCTATTCAGCTATCTGATTCCATGCCAGACATAATTATGTCAATCTACTTGCTGAATCCATTAACAACTTTACTAAGAAAAGATTTTGAGAGTTTATACTTGGTTTATAAATTCTTCTTCTTGGCAACTAATTCTGCTAGTCACTTAAGGAAGTTCAGAATATCATCAACAAATAGGAGATAACAGCTAGAAGGGTTCTTGTTACTCCACCTGTGCATGCTTAGTATTTTATCTTTACACAACCGGTCCCAAGCCTAGACAAAGGAGGGTTGCATTAGGTAGCTGGTAGGCAGCATAAAACTTCGTCAAACCCCTTATGAAAATGGATCCTTAGCCGACCCCAAGTAGTTTGGAAAAAGCTATGCGGAGTTGAGTAGATTTGAGAACTAGAAAGATTTTTTTGAAAGCAGCTGGAAACCTCAAAAAGAACCCTCTCACTGCTTGGTAGAGCATCCTGCTTAAAACCTGTGTGACAAACTTGAAAAGATATGGAGGAAATGATTACCTCCATTAAACCTCTGAAGCTCTCTAGATAGATATGTTGTTTTGATTTGTTCTCTTTAAATGTTTCCTGTCTTAAAAAAGTTTGTGAATTTGTATTATATTTAGCATTTGTTAAATTGACAGTCATTTGATTAAGTTGCACTTCCTAGTGAACTTGAAACAACAGCTATTTGAAATCTCACATAGAGGAAATGCTCATTTACCTGAACTAACTGTTTGGAAAAGGGAAGAGCTTGACAATAACTCATATTTCTTGATTCACTGACCTTAGTTCGTGTCGGCCACTCAGGAATGGGATTTTCTTTCGCAAATAGAGAACGATGCTCAAAATTTCTTTCTAAAGATGCCTTGTGACATTAACTTCCAATGCTATAGTTCTTTTCTTTGCTCTTTATGATTGATTGACAATTGGTTATGCAGCAACAACTTTAAAGCTTAATGGGGCCAGCAATCAATTCAACCAAAATGATTGTGGGTTCTTTCTTTTCTTTTCTTCTTCCTTTACTCTGGAGAAAGAGGGCAGGGGGTAGGGTTGGGTGGCCAGGAGGGGGGGCGGGGCGGTGGCCATGGGTCGACATTGTCGATTGATGAGTGGAGTCTGAGTCATACAAATTTGGTAAATAGTTCCTTGGTCAAATACTTGATTTCATTTATTGTCTTTGCCTTAGAATCATTCCTTCATCAATTGCCTAGATTAGCAAGTTGAAAATTCTAGGAAACCAATTTACTGATGTCTTGTATGAATTTACATGTGAAAAGAAACGTCTAATCAAAATTATTTGAGGAAATTCAAACTACAGGGCCGTGCACTGATTCTTTGGCATGCATAAAACAACTATAGTGGTCACGAGACGCCAAATCAGTCAGTCATTTGCCATCCCATCCCAGCACCCAGTTAAAGGACTGAAAAGTGCGAAATTTTTTATTGACGTGTTGTTTATGACTTTCTTAATATAAAAGTCCTTTAAAATGCAATTATGCGTTACCCCCATTTTCTGCTCTTAAGTCAATGTTGTTCATCAGGGTTAGAAAGGGTCAGGGTGCATATTCAATTAATCACATTCTTTACAAAAATAAAATTCTTACTATGCATTGACATAGCCGAAATGATATATCACGACTCGACAGTCCTGATGGAGCGTGGTTCGAGTCACAGAAACAACCAGTCCATAGGTAAAGCTGCGTACAACTTGCTGTCCCCAAACCCCACTGTGGTGGGAGCATCGTGCATTTGGTTTCTCTTTGACTAATTCCATCTCAATTGATCAAGCAAAATAGTTTCAGGAAACTCTACATCTCTGTTATTTATTTTTCGTTTTACATGTTGAATGAAGAAAGCGAACTTCATTTGGGATCAATTTTAGACAATGATTTTGTAAAACATAATTTTTGCCAGCAACTAGGTAGTCTTCGTTGATTTGATATGAAGCCCCTGATCATCTACTGCAGAGTAGCCTGGTTGAACTTGTTTGCATACTAACTTGATTTTCTGTAGTTTTCAAATTGACCTGCTTCACACTCTTTTGGTTAAACAAACCTTTGCATAATCCAAAATATCTTTGCTGGATTGTAAAGTAGATCTTTTCATGTGAAAACACTAGTGTTTTGCCATCACAACTTGGGTTGAAAATTGACAAGATGCTATTCTTCCATCCAATTGATTAGAAATTGAATAGAAAATTTAATTCCAAATCAAATGTATCTCAGTTTTTTTCTCCAATGTCACTTCTGTGCTATATTTCAAAATATGATGCTAAAATTCAAAAAAATCTCTTCCACTATGTAATGACCGCAAATTTAAGGACCATTAAGTGATCTTAGGACAGTATCTTACCGTGTGCATTAGGAAATAATATAGTGAGTTTATCATTTTTTACAGCTTCTTTCATTCGACAGTGTTACTCTCAGTTTCAATCTGTTGCTTTATTTTTTTTCTCTAATTTTGTTTTTTGTTTTTTGTTTTTTTTGACATAGGGATCCTTAAAGATTGTATTCTTCAAGGGCTTCAATTATTTAAAGCAATGAAGACAAGGGCAGGCCCTACCCTACCCAAGGGAATATGTTCTAAAGAGTGCATGTAAAAGCTGTGGTTCCACTGAGTGCATGAGTGCCCTTGGCAAAGGGCACTTCACCCCAACTCATCAGGGTGGCTGTTCAAAGCCCGACAGCCCCTCCCCCTTTCCCTTAGGTGTAGATAATTTCTGTGTATCCAAAAAACCGTGGTTCCACTAGAAGAAAGCATAATCTGTGAGGTCTGTGCATGACCATTCAGCTACGTTATTTATTATTTTTAATTTTTTTCCCCCCGCTAATTACTACCTTAAATTCGATGTTTATGTGATTGCAGGGTGGGAGCTGATGAAAAATGAAAGGGCTTGTCTGATGATTAACAAGGCTTTGGAGAATAGTTCCATGGTAAACTATTCATTTATGTGCAGGGTCTCTTTTTTTTTATTTCTATTTTTTTTTGTTTGGTTCTTTTCCCCTCTATTATTTTTCTCCTTCTTATTGAGGATAAGACAGTAGGTATTTAAATTTATTGATTTTAGAATATCTTATCCAAATCTATATCAATTAGAAAGGGAAAAAGATAGATCGATATTCAATTTAAAATATTATCCTGGACCCTCCACTATGTTACATGGACTCGGGTATGGGTGTCGGGTGTGGGTATGTATCCAGAGGTTGGACTCATAAAATTATAAATTTAAGGGTACACAGACTCGGCAAAAAAATGCCAGATTTTTATAAATTAATGAAGTATGTGAGATAAAATGGTGTTATATATAACTTACAGTGTCAAAAGACATTTATAGCAATTATGGAACAATATGTACATATAATAATAGTGTTATATACAATTATATAAGAAGTATCCGTTGAAAAGTATCCGACACATATCCCATACCTTTATCCGAGTGTCGCGTGTCCGACACGGGTATTTGATTTATTTTGAAGAGTCCGTGTAACATAGGATGTGTCTAATACTTTCCATCAGATACTTGCTTCATCGGAAAAATTAGAGAAAGTTGTGGTCCCTCTTCTTTTGCCGATCTTACCAGTACTACTACGGTAATGAATACGAGCCTTGCTAATGACCCAGCTCCCAGAATCAGTTCGTTTCCGCTTCATTCTCTGAATGAATGAGCAAACAGAACAAAACCAATTTAAAACAAGAATAACAAAAAAATAATAATAATAATAATAATAAAAAATAAAAAATAAATAAACAAAAAGAAAATGAAAGAGATGAGGGGTCGGCCGCTTAAAGTCTCACCACAATCCAGACTTCCTCCCCTCTAGAACTCGCTCATGGATTGTTCTTCGGCCATTGACATTGTCCTGGAGTGATTTCTAGTAACTTCATTTTTCTCTCTCTCTCTCTCTGTTTATGTGCCGTTTTGGCAACTTGCAATTTCTGGATAATTTCTTTTCTCTCTCTGTGCCGTTTTGACAACTTAGAGGTGTGCCCAGTGGGATTGGTATGTTTTCTGATTTTTTAGAAGAGAGAATTAGATTAACCATCCATGAGATCTATTAAAATTATGCTTGGTTGTATTAAAATTAGTCCATTTGAACCACCAATCCTCTTAAGAGTGGGATTAGCATACCCATTGAAAAATTAGGACTATTAATCTGAAGATTGAAGATGAAAGACCATTTTGCCCTCTTTTCACGAAAAA